AGTTCACTGATATCCGGTTCATCCCCTGACGGCTCATAAACAGGCGTATCAATTTTCGTCGTGTACGGCTCATCCTCATTCGCTGTACCTGGCAAAACATCCGTTAATAGTTCGTCAATTTCTGTCGGGCAGAATCCTGTCAGGGAGATATCAAAATCAGCATTGATTAGGTCCGACAGCTCCATCCGTAACAGATCTTCATCCCAGCCAGCACTCATCGGCAGGCGATTATCAGCCAGGCGGTACGCCTTTTTCTGATCATCCGTCAGACCAGACAGAACAATGACCGGAACCGAATCCATTTTGAGCGCCTCAGCCGCCATAACACGCCCGTGCCCCGCAATAATTTCACCCTTTTCATCAATCAGCACCGGATTTGTCCAGCCGAATTGCTTAATGCTTTCAACCAGCTGTGTCACCTGTTCAGGAGAGTGTGTCCTTGCATTGTGCACATACGGAGACAACTCTTGTAACAGTCGATAGACAATATTCAATTTTTCGCTCATACAACCTCGCTTTATGAATAAAAAACTAACAGCAGCCAGTGGAGAGCATTTATCATTAACATTTACAGATAAGATGACGTACATCATTGAAACGCCATTAAGCTATATACCTGCAGCATTTGTAGTTGCACTCCGCAACTCTGCGACTACGGTTATAAAAGCATTGGCAACTTTTGCCACCGGCAAATCTTCCATGGATTTCCCCTGCCGGTTTTTTATTTTCGTCGATGCATAACATTGCATTTACATCAATACCGTCTATTGTCATAAGTATGTTGTACCGATGCCCGGGTGATATTGGCGGTCTTCGCCAGCCGGTTCTGTGTAGCTGCTCCCTGTGACCGGTTTTTTATTTCTCACATTATCGCAGCCCCCCAGTGTGTGAAGGGCTGCTGTAATGCCTGTTACTCACGAATCAAACGAGCATGCTGACCACTCATTTCAATGCGTAAGTATTGTGGCTTGCCGTCAATCAACGCGGTGATTAACTTGTCACCTGTAGGTTTCCACATAATTTTCTCCTGTTTTAATGCCCCTTGCCGCCGGGCAGTTGATCAAAGTTCATCTTGATTCGGCAAGTTTTAGAATTAATAAGATAAAATTGGCACACGAAGCAGAATTTCATGCTTTCAAGACGCTGGTGCACCCTTTATTTTCAGCAAAATACTCTGTTTATCTGAATGATCAGGATAAACAAAAAAGACACCAGTATCGCTACCAGCGCCCATTTCGCCGCCGTTCGCGGCATTCTGTGTGTCCAGTGTTTTCTGTTCATAAACCACCTGGTTATTAGCGCTTCAACTGAAAATGTGGGCCGTCTTTAAGCGTCCGCCAGTCACCGCCCCATTCGATGGCAGTTCCAAGCTCTGCGGCAGCTTGCTTAAATGCCTGTGCGATTTTCTCGTACAGAGGCCAGTCCCATGACACCTGCGTATTTTCATGAAAGGAGATCACTCAATAACGGCGTTTTTCAAGGTAGTTGTCGCCTGATGTAATAAAATTACGTTATGCCGCTTCTTTTTCTGGATTCAGATAAACTGCCTGAATGAGTTCCCAG